TATCAAAACGCCTGCCATTTGAAATAAATAAATATTTCATTAGCCAAAGTTAGTTTGAGATTTGTGAGGAATGAACTCAAATAGCTTGGCAGGTATTCCAATTAATAAACTCTGCTAAAACAATTTCAAACAGAAAATACAGGGAGCTAATCCTATAATCTAGACATCAGAATATTCCAAAAGTTTTCAGGGGAAGTGAGCCCGAAAAGCAAACAAATTTCCAAGCCGAACCAAAAGAACGTTTTTAGTAATCAGGTGACACTCTGACATTAATGCCTAATGTGTCATTGTACTTTAATTCCTTTGATCCGACACTTCTCCATAGTGGGAAGTTGCATTTTTGACTTTTTGTCACGAATAAAATTATATTTCTGACCTACTTTTTAGGCAGTGAAAAACACTCACAGAATTCTAACGTTTGTCAGCCCTTCGAAGAAGTTCGATCCAATACAAGATATGTTGTTTTTCTGAAGATATCTACAAGATGATGGGTAAAATTAGCATATAAAGACTCGATAATAGCCAAAATATGGCCATTTAACTCAGACAACTTACAGTATAGTTAAAGATGATAGTTCCTTAAACGTGTTTGAGGTAAAAGTTCGAATCTTGTTGTCAGTCAGGTATCTATATGTGGATAAAAAATGGCACAAATAATGAGCTTAGAGGTTTTTCGATCATTTATCAGTACTTACAGTGATGATAGTCGCCTCAATCCGGAGAATGCATCAGGTGAGACGTCTTCTATTTCGTTTCCCTCAAGGTTTCTAAATGTAATAGCAAAATGCTTACAGGCGAAGGTGATACAACTTTATGGGTATAGTAGATTGAATAGTAAAATAATACCCCTTGAGATGTTCAATTCTGATCAACTATAAGTTAACTATAATTTATTTATAAGGCTATTGGTCAGGTTTGCTATTTTATCGATTTTATTGTGAGCTAATTAAATCGAAATTACTTCAAATTTTACCTGAAATGGCTCGTGATTAGGATTTCGCATAAAAAAGAAAATCTATTTTACTATGCCAAACAAAGTCTAATAAAACTTATTATTAAATTATTAAAAAATTAATTGAAGGAAAAATTCTGTGTAGTTGATAATTTGCATCATTGGACTTCACGTTGTTTATTATCCACCTTGTGGCCTCTCGGTAGGTAAACGTTTGTGTTATTTATTTGCATGTTAACAAGTTACCTTTTCCTTAACACATCATTCGCTTCAAGGATTAATTCCATAGCCATCATTCCTTCATTCAATATCCAGTGGCTTTTGTTACAATACATCATAATTTCATTAACATCGTACTCATTAAATCTTCGGACATTTCACAATATTGAGTAAATCAATAAATTCTGCCTTTCAATGGATATTATGCAATAAAGATAAACATAAAAAATAGAATAAAATTGTACAGAAATCGGAAGCATTTATATATTCAAACGAACCAATCATAAGAAGGGTAATTAGAAGCAATTAGATTTGTACCATTGAGTTCTTACGATTCAACTAAACCAAACTAGGCAAAATGACTCATACCATTTGGCGAATTCTTTGTCCCGGTATAGACACCCACGTGCGTAAAATGTGGCCTACTTATCGGACACAGATGTATCTACTACTCATAGAGAATCAGGTGGGATCAAATCCCACCCTTGACAGTTGGTTACAAACATCGAGTTCGCTTGCATTAATTCCTAAAGACTGAAAGATTTTGTAGAAATCGAAAAAAATATATACATTTATTAAGAGCGTTACTAGGAGATAAGTGGTTTATAGGTGGTTTAATTGCTTTTTAAAAATTTTTGTGATATAAACCACTAGTTATGCAAATAGAAAAGATTGAATGGAGTGATCTTTTTAATGAGGTAAAGGTGAATGATTCAATTCAATTGGGTTGGCAACTAAGTCATTGCCGTTTTTGTTGACAGATTCACTCTATACTTTCTTTTGTTTTGTTAACGTGGCCAGAGCATCTAACCTATATATTTTCTTACTGTATGGGCTTCTAGGTTAATTAGTAAAAATTTTTTTGTTTAGTTCTTTAGTTTTGTTTTTAGCCCAATTTAAAAATGAAAGAACAGGACGTGCACTTCCGACATTTTATTGTATTACTTCCGAAAAGGCAAGAACGCATCGCAAACACATAAGAAGTTATGTGCCGTATATGGAGATGAAGCCTTAAAAGAAAGGCAGTGTCGAAATTGGTTTGAAAGATTTCGTTGCGGTGATTTTTCACTGAAAAATTCACAACGATCTGGCTGCCCAGTCGAAGTGGATGAAACCCATATCAAGGCCATTATCGATTCAAATCGTCACAGCACAACACAAGATATTGCAGAGAAGCTCAATGTGTCGCATACATGCATTGAAAAAAAAATTAAAAACCCTTGGTTATGTCAAGAAACTTGATTTATGCATCCCTCACCAGTTAAAGGAAATTCATTTGACGCAACGGATTAGCATCTGTGATTCGCCGCTACTGAAACGCAATGAGAATGATCCATTTCTGAAGAACCTAGTTACTGGCGACGAAAAGTGGATAGTTTATAACAATGTTACTCGTAAGAGATCATGGATGAAGCAAGATCAACCAGCCCAAACAGTATCAAAAGCAGAGATTCACCAAAAAAAGATTATGCTGTCAGTCTGGTGGGGGGATCACAAAGGAATTTTGTATTTTGAACTCATGCCGCAGAACCAAACGATAAATTCAAATGTGTATGTTGAAGAACTCGAAAAACTGAAAGAAGGATGCAATTGAAGATAAGCGGCCGGCATTATCAAATCGGCGGAAGGGTGTTGTTTTCCATCATGATAACCCAAGATCCCACACATCCTTGGTTACTCGGCAAAAATTATTGGAACTGGGTTGGGATGTTTTGTCACACCCACTATATTGCCCTGACCTTGCGCCTTCGGATTACCATTTGTTTCGTTCCATGCAAAACTCTTTAAATGGTAAAATTTTTAACAACGCGGATGATGTCGGATCACACCTAATTCAGTTTTTTAATAGCAAAGACCAGACATTTTACGAACGGGGAAATTTACTCTGCCAGAAGGATGGAAAAAGGTCATCGACAAGAACGGCCAATATTTAATTGAATAAAGTTATATTTTTAAACAAAAATCCCGAATTTGCCTTCTTATTTGAAATCGGCAATGACTTAGTTGCCAACCTAATATTTCGTATCTAAATCAAATGCAGACAGGAATCATGAGTGTTATATCCTGATGTTTAGATTTAGGGAATTTCATAACTTCCAGTTCCACTTTATGATACTTTACACAATCCAGACTCAAGGAAGAGGAGAAGGAGGGCTGAAGACAACGATCTACTACTGAGAAAAAAGGGTTCTTTTTTTAAATTGGTATGAGATAATTGATTTTCTTATTGATTTGACCACCTTGATTTCTTTAATGTTAGTTTTGACTGCCCAAATAAGACCACAAAAATACGGCAATCAATAGTTTAGTTCACGAGTAGTGTTTTTAGCGTAAGCTATTGAATGTACCTTAAATACTAGATTTAGCTTTCTAAAAGAGTTCATACACAAGTTGAATGCCAGATGGATTAGTGAATGAATCAAGTATATCTGGTCTATTCTCTTTCGAATTGTAAGTTTCAAAGGGGTACAACTGGTTAGGGAAAGTAAATAAAGACAAATATCATTTTCATTTGTTTTGAAATTAGTATAGCATTGGTAATTATAATTTGTATTTATAAAACTGTAGGAGGAGAAGTTATTTAATTCTACATGCTGAATTTACTACGAAATCAAATTTCACCTATTCCTTTCTACCCATATTTCTCCCATGTAATTAAATTTAATCTGTAAAAAATTTATCAGGCGAACATGTGTCAAAAGAACTTACAATTTTCGCAAACTGGTATACTTCGAAAACGCATTTTTGGGCAGCCGCGTTAAATGATTGTTGGCAATATTTCTAGGGTTTTTAAAAAAAACAAAAATTTCATTAAGCAATCAATTTTGGAATGTCATTAAAATTTAACTTTTACCGCCATTACTCATATTGTCAACGCACTAGACCTATAAATTATTTCGATTTAAATTAAATTAGTAAAAGTTTTCCTATGAGTGGTCGATAATTGGAAGAAAATAAGATGAATCAAATGAGGTTCATCTTTTCAAGCTCTTCATTGTCGAACTTTTACGTTATATTATAAAGTATTGGAAATTGTAATCTATCACAGTAATGTCCCGAATGAGACATGCACATAAGATGAAAGTCCTGATTGATTGTCTCAACTGTAAACAATATGGTATCTTTGCCTGTTTGGGGTGTGCAATAGACTTACCTCTACGTGGTGCACCATGGGCAACGTATACCCATACGGCAAAAAAGTCTATAAACTGGCAGTTGACTTCTGACTTCAAACTACCATGGCCCCGCTGTTTGTCATATTTCACCACTTTCACAGTACTCATTTTACCTTTTCTCTGCCATTGTGTCTGTCTCTTTTACATCTGTGAATTCTTATTCTGCTCCGCCTTTCGAATTTTGTCACTTTGATGTTCCTCCTCCCCTCTGTGAAGCCCGAAGTCAGCTAGAGGGTCAATGTTAGCTATCAAAACACCTGCTATTTGAAATAAAACTTTACCTGTTTTAAATTAGATATAAATGAATTCGGTTGGGTTCAGATATAGTTCCTCGAAAGCAATGAACTTATCGGGGTAAATTAACTCATAAATAAAGTCATAGAACAGGAATCATCCACCACTAACCGAAAACTTGAACTGCATTTTTGATTATCTTTAAAGCTATTATTCTCGTACTGTGGGGTATTTATGCAAAGTCGTTTGAAGAAATTATTTTAGAACTTTGACCAAATTTCACTTACAAACTAATGATATTTTCGGGCAAATCTTGAGGCACCAATTTCAAATTCTTCCCAATACAAGAGACGAATCCAGAGGTGTCACAAGAACACACTGTCTGACATGATGTAAGTTGAGCTGTCTGGCGCTGTTGACAGGTCTGGGGTATTGGAGGGATGACACCAACTAAAAAGAGAATGAAATAGATCATTTCGGATAATTTCGGCTTTACACTACCTCATCAAGTAGGCAAGCAGGAATCGAAGTTCTTCAAAATAAATGAAAACCAGTTGATATCAAAATCTGATTCGTGCCATTAAATCAACTATTGTATTTATCTGATGTCAATATGGGGAAAAACTTTGAACTCCAAGGCAAGAAAAAATCTTGTAAATCCACCAGACCCTGAACGAAGACTTTGTTTGACTAGTAAATGGTTAAACAAGTCGACTAATAAACTTGTGTAGCTATTAGTTGACGGAATTCTGGATCAAAAATTTTTAAAGTTTTAAACAACGCTGTGGAGTGTTTTTTGCAGATTGTTATTGTTGTTAGAATTCATTTAGTCTCACCATTCTGTTTTGTCAAATAGGGTTAGGGTTTAGCCTTCATAATTCAGTTGTGAAAATTGTATACGTCTTCATTCTGAACACGAGAATCAAAAAAGGGTTCTAAATTGACATATTTTTAGTGCTTGGGGGGCTCCCTTGTCGAGAAGGACTAATCAGAGTTATTCCTCCTCCTGATACTGTGAACTATCTATAAAACGTATACAAAAACGAAATTCTGTGACACAAATCGCAGACACACTTCTCTCCGTGTACTTTTAACAGTACATTTTCCAACGTTTAACCGATAAAAGCTCAAATATTGGCTTAGTAATTACTTTTTTTCCTTAAGTCATATCGAATCATGGAATATAAAGGTGGACTAAAATTGGATTTGCCTCCGATCCACGTTTTTTTCAAGCGTTTAAGCCAATCGCTTCTCAAGATTTGATAATCTTCCAACTCGGGGTGTGCGATAGACTTACCTCCAAGTGGTGCACCCTGGGCAACGTATACGCATACGGCAAAAAAGTCTATTAACCGACAGTTGACTTCTGACTTCAAACTACCATGACCCGACTTGGGGTGTGCGATAGACTTACCTCCACGTGGTGCACCCTGGGCAACGTATATTCATACGACAGAAAAATCTATTAACTGGCAGTTGACTTCTCACTTCAAACTACCATCACCCCACTCTATGCCATATTCGACTATTTTACAGTACTCACCTCACCTTTGTTCTACCTTTGTGTTCGTCTCTTACATCTTTGAAACACTCCTCTCTCCCCCTCTCGACTTTTTTCAAGTTGATGCTCCTCTCCCTCTGTGAAGCCTGAAGTCAACTTTCACAGTACTCATCCTACCTTTTCAATGCCTTTGTGTCTGTCTCTTTTACATCTGTAAATCACTCTTCTGTTTGCCACCCCTCGACTTTCTGTTCCTTTTATATTCCTTCCCCTCTGTGGAGCCCGAAGTCAGCTAAAGGGCTAATGATAGCTATCGAAACGCCTGCCATTTGAAATAAATAAATAATCTTCCAACATAGCAGCTTATACCCAAAGGACCATTTTAATGCATTTCACCCGATTACGCCTCACCTTGTGGCTTGAGATCAAGTGTTTATATTGCTACATATTAAACCTCGTACTTACGAGGACAGCCGAGTAAACCCAGAACATTTGCCCCAACAGCTCCAGGGAATTGAGAGCTACTGGCATCGCAAATAACGCCTGAGGAGGCAAAAACGCCTTGTCGATTCGTGTCCATAAAAGTCCTCATTACCCCTGCCAAGTGACAATCGCATTGTATTGGATTTCCACCTAGGGATCTGCAAAGAAAGAGAGACGAACAGAAATAATTGAACATGAAAAGTCGAAGAACTTTCATAAATGGGCGAATAAATTTGCCAAGAATTTGATGATTCAATACCGAACATCAATAAAGTCTAAGTGATGTATCGCATGAAGTCATAATATTTACCATGATGCAACAAGAGTTTTTTCATTCAAATTTCTCTTGAAGTCTTTATTAATAATCGAACCCATTACCAAATAATAATTAAGGATTTCCCGTGAGCTAAAGCCTTTCAGGCTTTCGTGGTTAGAAACTTTCAACAAAATTGAGTTCGGTTTTACATGTACTTAATCAAAAATGATTCAAGTTACCATTTTTGTGCGAATGAATTGGCGCCCTTACACAATTCGAAAGCACATAAACTGAATTGACCAAGTTAATTCGATTTCAGAATGAAGGATATTTCAAATGGCGCCTATCTAATCACCATATTTGCGTGATTAGTTTTCTTAATCAAGGATTGGAGTCTCCATTAAGTGGTGCTTGCCAATTCACGTGTGCTTACATGCCCATTTATCAATAAGTGTGGAGGGATAATTGAAGAACCATTTGGAAGACAGAGCAATTACTATATTTTTAGATGGTTGGGGTGTGCGATAGACTTACCTCCACTTGGTGCACCCTGGGCAACGTATACTCATACGGCAAAAAGTCTATTAACCGGCAGTTGACTTCTCACTTCAAACTACCATGGCCCGACTGCTTGTCATATTCGACCCCTTTCACAGTACTCATCTTACCTTTTTCTCTACCTTTGTGTCTGTCTGCCTCTTTCACATCTGTGAATCGCTCGTCTGATCCCCACCCTTCGACTTTCTGCTACTTTGATGAACCTTCCTTCTGTGAAGCCCGAAGTCAGCTAAATGGCTAATGATAGCTATCATAACACCTGCCATTTGAAATAAATAAATAAATATTTTTAGATGGAATCACAATATGAGAATTTATATATTGTGCCGTTGTGTTCAAGAATATATGAAATTGGGTGTGTTGTTCATATTCCACGTTGCTTATGGAAGGCAACTCAAGTGGTAAAGGTTCAGATATTTCCTGGCTCACGTAATAACTGGAATGCATGATCTCGATCGAACAGAATAACCTGCAAGTGCTGTGCTCTCTTTCAAGAATTCTAGTTATGACCCAAATCAAATATATTTACCCTATTCAAATTCACCTGTATATACTTTGCTCTATTTCAAAAACCTACAGGAGAAAATGG